ACACACACACACACACACACACACACACACACAGCCTGTGTGTGTAAGTCTGTGGCTTTTATTCAGAGAGATCCACATGCCACAATTGCTAACTGCTCACTGACACCAGTTCACATTTTTTACACTCTCAGACTCCTACACGTTAAGAGTGCCAGATCAGAGGCATCGGGGGCAATGAATCTCAATGGTTAGGGCCCCTTTTTTCTTTCTTTCCAGCATCAGCCACAAGCAATTTTCATCTTTGTCACACTCCATCTGTTTGGTGCATATGGACCAAGTGAGCTACACCAGAACACAAGATGTTGGCCAGCTCAGATAAACAAACATTTACTGAGTGCACATAGAGGGCTTGACATTGTGTTTGGCCCTGGAAATATAAACATGTCACTGTCCTGGATCTGGAGTAATTTTCCTGTCAAGGTTTTATTTTTTACTGAAAATACCCAACAGCTAATACAACCTGGTGCCTAATGTGAACTTTGACGTCCAGTCTCTTTGAAACCCTCAGATCACATTCTGTCCCAGGCTCCTTTACTGTGCCCAACCCAGCCTTGCCTGTTCAAATGAAAAATTTTGCCTAATTCCTTCCGGTGTGGTCTGATATTGCAAGTCCTAACCTCATCTTAACCCTGTGAATGTCTGTCCATTTCATCAAAATTAACAGAGAGTAGTACCTTATTCTCCCAGTCAAATATATTTTAATTAAATAACAACTAGTAAGGCCATCCCAGCTCAAATTTGAACCTAAGAAGTTGAGGTCCAGAGTCTGTGTGCTCTCATTCATGGTATTTCTTTCATGTTATTTTTAATCACACAATCATGCAAGAAAGGTATTATTTTGCCTACTTTACAAATGATAAAGAACTGAGGCTTGGAGAGGTGAAAAAACTTGCCCAAGTACAGAGCTAAGACTGAAGCAGATGTGTCTGACTTGAAATGTCCCGTTCTTTCCAAAAAGATGCCCCACTGGCCTTGACACTAGTGGCTGTACATACTGCTTTACAGTTTACAAAATGCTTTGGCATACGATATCTTTATACATCATGAGGAGCCAGCAATATAGATCTGTTATCTCTACAAGTGAAAAACAAAATGGAGGCTTAGAAATTGAAATAACTTTCATAAAGTTATTTCTTGAAAGAACCGTTAGAATAAACTGTGACACAGAACCCAGAATTCTGAATCCAAGTCAAGGTTCTCTTCACTGTGCCTAACTACCTTCCAAATTCAAACTATTATCTATTTTCTGAGTACCCATCACAACTGAAAAGACTACCCCAGCTCTAGGACTTACTGCTTCATGCTGAAAACACAAATCATCATTGCTAACAGGTGAACAGGAAGATGAAAAATTAGTATACTAGGGATATAGCTTATAACTGATAGTTGTTTAAAAAAAACCTTAAGTGTTAGAAAATAATTATATATATTCATGATTAGATATTTCCATCAAATGTTTAGAATGTAGGTGATGGTATAACAAAGGTTAAATCTCCCCATCTATCAAATGAAGAGGTAGGATCAGATATGTGCTTTCAAACTGGTGCTTCAATGATCCAAACCTGGGAGTTTTCTGAAGGTCCATAATAGCCAACTATTGGGTGGTCCGCCCAGCCACTCCTCTGGGAATTGCAGTGTTTCTGCTGCAGCTCCCTACTCTGTCAGCCACAGGATCGTGACGCATCCAGGACCAGTCAGAGGCTTCTTCCTGCATGGTGGATGACCCAGTAATGTGTAAACCATGGTGGTTAGCCAGTACTGTGAAGGGGAACAGAGAAAGCTAGTCTATAAACAAAAAGAGGACTGAATTAAATTTGTAGGAAAAAGAAAGAAAATTACCTGAATTTCCCAAATGCCGTCGTTCTTAAGGCTTTCCTATTGTTTGCTTATGCCAGTTCATGGTAAGTTCTACTACTTGCAACCACATAAACTAGACTTATTCAAGGTGCTGAGAAAGGAGGGGGATAGATAAGGGTTTAGCCTCACATTCTTATTAGTTTCTGTTATGGGTTGAATTGTATCTCTCCAGAAACAGTAAGTGGAAGTCTTAATCCCTAGTATCTGTGAATGTGACTTTATTTGGAAACAGGGTCTTTACAAGATGTAACCAAATTAAGATGAGATCATTAGGACGGGCCCTAATCCAATATCACTGATGCCTTCGTAAGAAGAGAAGGAGAGGCACAGATGTAAGAGGGGCGAAGGCCATGTGACAGTATTAGGCAGAGATTGAAGTGCTGTAGCTACAAGTCATAGAAAGCAAAGGATGGCCAGCACTCCTAGAAGCTAAGGAAGGGCTCCCCTCCAGGTTCCTGAGGGAGCATGGCTCTGCTAACATCTTGAATTTGGATTTCTAGGCTCTAGAACTGTGCAGTAATGAATTTCTGTTATTTTAAGACACCCAATTTGTGGTACTTTGTTACAGAAGTCCTAAGAAATAAATGCAGGATTCTAATTCAGATGCTCCACTTTAAAAAATAAAATTCTAAATCCCTGGATTCCATGGTTTTACATTTAAGTTATCTAAAAGTTTCATTTATATAAAATATCTTACTTGGGATGAAGCTGAATAAATGAAACTGTGATCTAAAATTTTCCAGTTAATTTGACTTCTACATGTATATTACAATTGTATAATTACTTTTAATAACTTCTGCTAAAGAGTGTGCTTCTTTCTATTAAAAAAATTAATTTTTACAGTTTGGTTAAATGTCACCTTTTATTTCTAGAATCTCCAAGTACAGGAATAAGGTACATACATGTTTTCTTTAATAGTTTTCTTGCAAAACCCAGCATCTCAGCAAAAGCTGCTGTTAATACTTCAAATTTATCATAACTTAAAGGAGACACAAGAGATACAGTAATGAGAGTACAATGGAGACCTAAAGTAAAATTATTTCAAAAAGATCTAGAATATCGTCATCTAAAATTTTTGAAAGAAATGTAAGTTAATGGCCAGGCATGTCACATCTGTGATCCCAGCACTTTGGGAGGCTGAGGGGGGCAGATCACAAGGTCAAGAGATAGAAACCATCCTGGTCAACATGGTGAAACCCTGTTATCTACTAAAACCACAAAAAGTAGCTGGGTGTGGTGGCCTATGCCTGTAGTCCCAGCTACTGAGGAGGCTTAGGCAGGAGAATTGCTTGAACCCAGGAGGCAGAGGTTGCAATGAGCAGAGATGGAATCACTGCACTCCAGCTTGGAGACAGAGTAAGAGTCCATCTCAAAAACAAAACAAAAAAAAAAAAAAGAAAGAAAAGTAAGTTAACTATCTACCATTTATAACCAAATTCTCCTTTTAGAGTCTCAGGAGACCTAATTCTCCCCACTAATACATGAGCTAACAACATCAGGATCAAACATATGCAGGATTGGTGTTTATAAGACCTGATGCAGGTGTGATGGTTACATTTTAAAAATTGTATTGTAGACTTGCAGGTGGCCAGATAATTTTTTATTCATGACCACATTTTTCTAGAGATGTTTCCAATAAAAAGTGCATTAGAGTTATATTGTGCTTTTCAGTTTTCAAAGAACATTTGAATACGTGATCCCACTTGACCTACAAAATTGTGATTTTAAATTAGAGAAGGCAAATATTATCATCTGTTTTATAGCAGAAGAGACTGATGCTTATAAATCTGCCCCAGGTCATACAACTAGTAAAAGGTAAAACCAGGTCTTGTGATTCCAAATCTAAAATGTAGTTTCTAAAAACTAGGCTCTCTATTTGATTCAGACTCTGGTTTTGGGTTATTGAATGTTGGATTATTAACTGCAGCCCTCACAGCTTCATAAGGAAAATAGAATCATTTGTTTTTAAAATTCACTTTTAAAAAGTGAGTAGGTGCTTTTTTTTTTTTTTTTTTTTTTTTTTTTTTTTTTTTTTTTTTTTTTTTATCTTGACATATTTTCTTTCTAGAAATCCTCATAAACTAAAGAGGTGGCTGTAGCTCAGCTGTTCGGTGCCTGTGTTAGATCGGGACAACCACGGAGGGATCAGCAGTCCTACTGCCATGGCTGCTGAGAGTTCCCAGCCAAATGGGAACTCCTCAGAGGCGAATAGAGGAGTGGCCAAGATCATGATAGAAGTGATGTGAAACCCCACAAACCTCCTCCCTCCGTAATGTCCTCATGAGGCGAAGAGAGGAGTGGACAGAACTTACAAAATCATACATGTAACTGCCTCTTCCTAAATGCAGGAGACATATAAGCAGAACACTTCAGAGTTAGAAAGGTGGACTTTCTGATTTCACATTTCTACTCAGGGTTGTGTCTACAAAGGATCAAAATAAGAAGTAGCTTCACCTCTGCCCATGGTCTTTCAGCATAGGATAGTCACATTTCCAAAGCTCTGCTAGGTCAAGAGGCTACATGATAGGACTATTGCACTTTCCAATATTCACACAATTAGTTATTTCCCCTCCCTCAAGTATCATCAGTCCCCTCAGAATTTTTAGCTTCCAATCTCACAATGACAGTGATAGCACCAGGATGAAGAATGAACACACCCTTGTTTAAGGGCTTCCTGCACTGCCACCCTCCCATCCAATGAAACCACAGGGAAGCTCCTCTCCCACAGAGAGAGAGACTCTCTGGGCTCACCAGATATCATGGAGCCAGAAGTACTCTGGTAGCGCTTGTCAACCTCCTCCTCAGCCCAGAGATCTGAGCTAAAAGAAAGGCATGAAGAGGTGTCGCCACCTTCTCTTTGAATCTTGTCACTTGTCTGTCTATGGAGTATAAAAAGAACCATTGAGACTTGAGAAAGAATTGCTGTTTACAAAGGCAATAAATATTCATAATATTATACTAATAATAGCCCATGTTGAGTTACAAATATGCTTTGCAAGCTGGCATTGTGTGGAAAAACTTTAAGTTTTCTTTTTCCTTTTCATATCATCTTTCTAACAAGATCAAAGTCCTATTCCTATCAGAAATATGCTTAGGGAGGCAACTATTTCAGTCTTACTAGAAGAGGCACAATCCAGAATGCACCATTATAGCATGTGTAATTCTGTGAGCAAAGGGCTATAAAGTGTAAGAAAGAGATACACAATAATAAAGTTGGAAAGGGCCTTAGGTTACATGGATTTCACTTTTCTCATTTAACAGATACAGAAATCAAGGTTCCCAAAGAAGTGCTTGGAATATATTTTCTATATTTTTAAAAGAATGTATAATGGATACAACTCATCCATAAAAAAGAATAACCTATAGAGACACGCAACATCACTGATGACTCTCACAGACGTGGTCCTAAGTGAAAGAAGCCAGAAACACACTGAGGATTCCATTTGCAGGAAGTTTTAGAACAGGCAAAACTGATCAAAAGTAGAAACAATTGGAACAGTGGTTGCCTGTGGTGTCAGAGGATGGGTATTGAGGAGGTGTTGAGTGTGAAGGGTCCGAGAGGGCTTTCTGGGAAGATGGATATGTTCCAATTTATGACACAAGGTGTAGATTACATGGCTACATCCATTTGTCAAAATGGGACAGTTAAGATTTGTGCCTTTTAATGCATGTACATTTTATCTTAAAAAACTGTAAAGAAAAACAGTCATTTTTCAGTGGTGGTGTGATGAGTAGGCAGCGGGAAGATGGAATGAGAATGGCAGAATGCTGTTAACTGTTGAAGTGAGCACAGGGGTTTACTCTGAATATGGCTGAAAAGTTTTTGTGACATAAACTTGTACAAGATGAACGTGATGAGCAAGGGAAAATTCAGTCGTTTATGAGCACTCTGCTTACTGGTCCAGGACTCTTTTCAATTCTTTTTTTTTAAGGACACAGGGCCTCACTGTGTCACCCAGGTTGGAGTACAGTGGCACAACCACCTTTAAATTCTTTATATTCTCGAGTAACCTTAATGCTTTCAGCTATGTTCTAGGTTCTCTTCCCATCTTAGCCTCTTTCCCCACTTGAGCCTCTCTCCTCACCTTCCTAAAGGAAAGGAGAAACCTGAGAGCCAAATGAAGCCCGAGGAGCCCACCCAAGGCTTCACACGGGGCCCTGTGAAAAGACTGTGACCCCTCCTGGCTAAGGCAGCTGCCAAACTGCCAGGACACGGATTCTCCAATCAGTGTCACACAGTGTTTGTCCATGAAAAATACTCCTTTTATGCTCTGTACCTCTGAGATAGCCAAATATCTTTGAAAATTGAAAATGCTTCAGTCTCACATAGCAAAAAAAAGACAAAATGAGAGGCAATTAGATTGCCCTCTCACATGTCTTTTATTTGATGGCCGAAATAAATTATTTTAATCATTACATTTCTTACCTATTTGTTATTTTAGTCTCAAATCTTAGTTAATGTCTTCCATCTTAAATTAGAATTTGAGCAATACAAGGTATCAAAGGAGACATTATTGGCAGCGTTTCTTTGCAGACATTATTAAATTAGTTGGTGATTCTCCAGTTCATCAACTTACCTCCATCTAGGAAGCAGAGTTCATAAAGCGTGGCAGTAAGAAGTTATTAATGAGTTTAGTTTTCATTAATTTTATATAAACTAAAATGTATTTTAACATAATAAATTCAAATATCACAGATCCATCACAGGAGTTTTTTTTTTCTTTTTCTTTTTTTTTTT